GGTGTCTCCGGAGAGTGTAGAGAGGGAGCTGAGGGTATACGAAGAGCAGCAGCAGCAGCAGCAGCAGCAGCAGCAGCAGCAGCAGCAGCAGCGAGACCATGTGCCTCTATCACCAGCAGGGTGTATAGGCAGCTCAAAAGAAGAGAAAAAAGAAAAAATAACAGCAGCAGAGCTCGCTGCTTTTTTCTCTAAGTCGGAGAGAGACTTGCTGCAGTCCCTCAATAGAAAAAGAGACAGAAAAGGAGACACTTCTCGTGCTGCTGCTGCTGCTGCTGCTGCTGCTGCTGCTGCGCAGAGGCAAGAAGTGCAAGAGCTTATACAAGGAGAACACGAAGAGGCCCTGCAGGCGCTGCTGGGTGATGCAGCAGCAGCAGCAGCAACAGCAGCAGCAGCAGCAGCAGACAGAGAGGAGACAGTCTCGGAGACAAAAAAGGAGACACAAAAGAAGGANAGCAGCAGCAGCAGCAGCAGACAGAGAGGAGACAGTCTCGGAGACAAAAAAGGAGACACAAAAGAAGGAGACACCGAAAAGAACAGCAGCAAAAGAGACAAAAAAAGAAAAAGAAACAGAAAAAGAAGAGACAGAGACAAAGACAGAGACAGAAGAAAAAGAAAAAGAAAAAGAAAAAGAAAAGGAGACAGAAGAAGAAGAGGAGACACTTGGTGATATACAAGAAAAAGAAATAATGGAGACAATCCGGGATCGTCTCCAAACCGATCCCCAATTAAAAAGAGAGCTCAGCAAACGGGGGGAGACACTCAGCTCTGTAGCAGCAAAAATAAAAAATATTTTACTGGGGGTTACGGGTGAGGAGACAGAAAGGAGACATATATATTATTTTAATAGAATATAAAACACAAACAGAGGAGACAGATGTAGATAGAGAGAGATAGAGAGAGAAAGGAGATAGGGAGAGGGAGAAAGGAGACAGAGAATAGAAGGAGAAAAAGAGACAGAGACAGAGACAGAGAGAAAGGAGACAGTGAATAGAGAAAGAGACAGAGAGAGAGACAGAGAGGAGACAGGGAGGAGACAGGGAATATAAAAAGAGACAGAGACAGAGACAGAGACAAAGAGAAAGGAGACAGTGAATAGAAAAAGAGACAGAGAGAGACAGAGAGGAGACATCTGCTGTTGCTGCTGCTGCTGCTGCTGCTGCTGCTGCTGCTGCTGCTGCTGCTGTGTGTGCAGTCCCCTCTGCTGCGTCATCTGTGTTGAGTCTCCAAGACAGTCCGTCTCCTTGCGCTGAGTGTCTCCTGTTGCTGCTACTCTGCTGCTGCTGCTGCTGCTGCTGCTGCTCTGCTGCTGCTGCTGCTGCTCTGCTGCTGCTGCTCTGCTGCTGCCCTGCTGCTGCTGCTGCTGCTCTGTTGTTGCTGCTGCTGCTGCTGCCCTGCTGCTGCTGCTGCCCTGCTGCTGCTGCTGCTGCTCTGCTGCTGCTGCTGCTCTGTTGCTGCTGCTGCTGCTCTGCTGCTGCAGCGCTCACAGCTGTAATGTGCTAGCAGCAGCAGCCTGTTTAGAGTCCCCTTTCGTTTGTGTTGTCTGTATATATTTATTTATATATTTATTTATACATTTATCTATATATTTATTTATATACTTGTTTATATATTTATTTATATATTTATATATTTATTTATATATTTATTTATATATTTATTTGTCTCCTTTCTCCTCAGGCCTGGGGGCTTTGTTAGAGCCAGGGCTCTCCGCCACACCCAAAGGCGCTGCTTTTTCCAGTGCGTTGAGCTGCAGCAGCAGCAGCAGCAGCAGCAGCAGCAGCAGCAGCAGTAACACATGCAGCAGCAGCAGCAGAAGCAGCAAGGGCAGCACACGCAGCAACAGCAGCAGCACAAGGAGCAGCAGCAGCTGTTGTTTGCGTTTCCTTTTTCTGTCTGTCTAGATGATGGATTATGAATCTATTGCTGCATGCATGTGCTGCTGTTGCTGCTGCTGCTGCTGCTGCTGCTGTTGCTGCTGCTGCTGCTGCTGCTGCTGTGTTGCATTTTGTCTCCTTCAGGACGCCAACGCACGCCAGGCAAAGGAGACAGGAGAAGGTTCACTCCACCTGCTGCTTCTGTTGCTGCTGCTGATGCTGCTGCTGCTGCTGCTGCTGCTGATGCTGCTGCTGCTGCTGCTGCTGCTGGGGGGCCCCCAGCTGAGGAGGAGGAGGGGTACAGCAGCTGTCTCTTTCATCTGTCTGGAGACAGTGTGTCTCCTTCTGTCTCCTCTCTCCCCGCGGACCCCACACAGGAGACAAGACAAAGACAAGGAGACAGAGAGCTGCAGCAGATGATGAAGACACAGCAAATGCAGAGACAGCGCGGGAGAAGCAGCAGCAGCAGCAGCAGCAGCAGCATAAAGAGACACAGAAAAAAAAGAATGTAAACAGAGAGACAGATGTGGCTCTCCTGTCTCCTTCTTCTCTATGCTGTCTTTCTCCTGTCTCTGCGTCTGTCTCCTCTCTCGTAGCAGCTGCTGCAGCAGACAGCTGCAGCTGCTGCAGTTGAGAGCAGCAGCTGCTGCAACAGACAGCAGCAGCTGCTGCAGCAGACGGTAGCAGCTGCAGCAGCAGACAGCAGTAGCTGCAGCAGCTGCTGCAGCAGGCAACACCAGCTGCTGCACTAGACAGCAACAGCTGCTGCATTTGACAGTAGTAGCTGCAGCAGCAGACAGCAGCAGCTGCAGCAACAGCTGCTACAGCAGGCTGCAGCAGCAGCAGCAACAGCTGCCGCAGCGGACCGCAGCAGCAGCAGCAACAGCTGCTGCAGCAGACAGCAGCAGCTGCATCCGTACATACAGCAGCAGCTGCTGCAGCAGACAAACGATATAAATTTGTCTCTAAATGTATTATCGCTTTGTTGATAGAGCCGCAACACACACACAGTCTCTGTCTCCTCTCCATAAGGAGACAGTCCCTGTCTCCCTATAAAAAGGAGACAGTCTCTGTCTCCTTTTCATAAGGAGACAGTCTCTGTCTCCTTATAAAGAGACAGTTTCTGTTTCCCTATAAAAAGGAGACAGTCTCTGTCTCTTCTCCTTATCAAAAGGAGACAGTCTCTGTCTCCCTATAAAAAGGAGACAGTCTCCGTCTCCTCTCCATAAGGAGACAGCCTCTGTCTCCTCTCCTTATCAAAAGGAGACAGTCTCTGTCTCCTTATGTTAAGGAGACAGTCTCTGTCTCCTCTGCTTATGAAAAGGAGACAGTCTCTGTCTCCTCTCCATAAGGAGACAGTCTCCGTCTCCTCTTAAGGAGACAGTGTCTGCCTCCTTCTCTTAAGGAGACAGTATCTGTCTCCTCTCCCCATGAAAAGGAGACAGTCTCTGTCTCTTCTCCTTATCAAAAGGAGACAGTCTCCGTCTCGCTTGTGTATGTGTCTGTGTGTGGGGAGACAGTCTCTGTCTCTCTGTCTCCTCTGTCTCTGTCTCCTCTGTCTCTGTCTCCTTTTTCTCTGTCTCTTTTGCCCCTGTCTCTTTTGTCTCTGTCTCCTCAGTGTCTGTCTCTCTGTCTCTGTCTCCTTTCTCTCTCTCGATCTCTGTCTCCTCTGTCTCCTTTGTCTATGTCTCTGTGTGTGTGTGGGGAGACAGTCTGTGTCTATCTGTCTCCTTTCTCTGTATCTCTAGTGTATAAGGAGACAGTCTCTGTCTCCTCTGTCTCTGTCTCCTTTGTCTCTGTCTCCTCTGTCTCTGTCTCCTTTGTCTCTGTCTCTGTCTCCTTAGTGTGCGGAGACTGTCCCTCCTGTGTGGGGGGCCCCCAGAGCTCGTGGGGGGCCCCAACGTTGCTGCTCGTTTGCTGCTGCTGCTGCTGCTGCTGCTGCCAAGCCGAAGGCTGATCAGAGGCGACACGTGGAGACAGCAACAGCAGCAGCAACAGCAACAGCAGCAGCAGCAGCAGCAACAGCAGCGACAACAGCAACAGCGGCAGCGGCAGGAACAGCAGCAGCAGCAGCAGAAGCAGCAGCAGCAGCAACAGCAGCAGCAGATGTGAATAGCTTTGCTGCATCCACCTCATGTTTTACACCGCTACTCTGGTGCACACCAGCAGCAGCAGCAGCAGCAGCAGCAACAGCAGCAGCAGCAGCAGCAGCAGCTGCTGCTGCTGCTGCTGCNGAATTGCTGCTGCTGCTGCTGCTGTAAGAAAAGCAGCAGAAACAGCAACAACTCTTTTTGCTGCTGCTGCTGCTGCTGCTGTTGCTGCTGCTGCTGCTGCTGCTGCGGCTGCGCAGGCGATCCCAAGGCACTCGCTCCCGCATGCCCCAGCCCTCACAGCAGCAGCAGCAGCAGCAGCAGCTGCTGCTGCTGCTGCTGCTGCTTTGATCGGAGACATATTTTTTGTTTATATTTTATTTTATTTGTTGCATTAAAAACAAATAAAAAGAACAAAGGCCCCCAGCCTGTCTTTCTGCTGCAGGCTGCGCACCGA